GAGGCTTGGTGTCTTTGGCGCTGCGGTAGGCGGGCTGGTGGCGCTCGCCAGGGCGGTGGGGGGGACGGTCCCGCAGGATGTACACGCTATCGCCTACAACAACAAAGCATATGTTACTTGTTCACTTCCATGGCTGAACAAACCAGCCTTGAAACAGAAGAACTTGGATATTAATAAAAACAGTACGGGCAAAATAAAGTAGCATGTGTCTGGATCGCCTACAATAACAAAGCATATGTTACTTGTTCACTTTCATGGCTGAACTAACCAGCCTTGAAACAGAATAACTTGGATATTAAAAAGAAAACAGTACGGGCAAAATAATGTAGCATGTATCTGGATCGCCTACAACAAAGCATATCTTACAGTCTTACTTGTTCACTTTCATGGCTGAACAAACCAGCCTTGAAACAGAATAACTTGCATAATAACTCAGAAAAAAAAAAGCACGGGTAAAATAAAGTAGCATGTATCTGGTGTATCCATGAGAAAATTACCTGCATTTTTTTTTATTGCAACGAAAAATAGGTTTACAGATGAAAATTAACCGGCAACGCGTCATCCAGTCATTACCTTGTTTGACCTGAAGTCCATCTCTGAGGAGACTGATGAAGTATTTGTCAGTGGAGGGAGCGTCGGGTGGCTGGGGAGTCATGGGCACCTCAGGCGACACCCGCCGAGGTGAGCATTCTTCGCAAAGGTACTGGTCGCTTCCTCCTGCACGGGGACATAAATTATGCCGTTATGGAGAGTAACCCATAACAGCTGAAGAGTGGAGTGGGGGAGGCGTAGTTTCAAGTAGGGGAATTAAAGCTTCAAAAATCCCAAATTATTGAAATTATATCTCTGACTTACAGAATCCTTTACCTTAATGTTTAATTTTACGAAATTGGGGATTCCAAATTCTCTCTTTGTAAATTTTTGTTAGTAGTAGTAGATTTTATATCACTTTAGAAATAATCTTTGTTAACTTTTGTGGAAATTATGTAACGATATGTCAGTCTTTTAGACATGAAAAAACTCCGGCAATCACAACATCACACCAAATAGTCATGCGAGCAACTGCAATACTGCACCAACAACGCATTAGGGCGACAACGCACCTGAAGGCAGATGAGAAGCCTCAGCGGCGTCATGATCTCCCAGAGATTCCAGCTTGACTTTAGGAGACTTTGAAGGGGACGACCCGTGTGCTCCTCTCACGCCCATGCAGTCGCAATGTTGCCACACGAGGCAGCGCTCGCACTGGATCATGAGACCTTCGTCGCGCGGCATGTTGCACACGCAACGAATGATGTCTTCATCGTCCGACTCGCAGGCTGCACAGCAAACCAAATATTACGATCACTATGACAATTACAGTATCTATGATCAAAACGACATAAAGGATTTAGTTCTTTTTCACAGTGCATTGAGATAAGGGATAATAAGGTCGCGAATGTGCAGCATGCAATGATGAGCAATGGCAGATAATAATGAATTGCAGGGATCACAATATACAGGATTTCAATTCTGAATATTTGGTTAAAATCTGTGTAACTTTTTAACCAGCAAAGTGAACGAACCTTCGCTCGATGGGGAGACTGCAAAGGGCGCAGGCAGACCGTCTGGCCCCAGCACCTCCTCAAGCAGCGGCTTAAACTGAAGCTTGCACTCGCTGTAAACACGCCGCAGTCCCACAGCAAGACGTCCCGTGGGTGTGTTGCGTCCGAAGTACCGTAAACTGTTATGAAACAGTCGCATCACGTCACTGTCGAAAGACTCGGCTGTTTTGTACGTCCCAGTCAGTATGTTTTTCTCGATCATAGTGAGATCAATGGGCTCGCCGACCCTCACATAGTAGTTAGGATGCTTCTTTTTGGAAGGCAAACTCATGAATGGAGACGCAAGAGGCTTGTCCTCCACCGGGTCTCTGGAAGCTACTAACTTATCGTAAATATCCTTGAAGATTTGTGCAAGTTTGGCGAGTCTCGTCATCTCTGGATCATCCTCAGCTTGAGCAAGTCGTCGAGTTTTGACAGAACGGGCGGTGTTTAAAGCAGTGAAGTGAGTGAGGAATTTTTCAACGCGGCTGTTGGTCTCATCGTCGGGATCGAGCGGGAGTTCAGCAGCTGCTACTCCAAGATCGCTATGGGACGCAGAAGTGTTAGTGGCAGGATTACCAACTGCCTCTTCGGCCACAACGCCGTCAAATTCTGCTTCGGATTTTTTCTCGGGACCTTTAGCAAGTCTCTCCTTGGTTCTTCTGAACTTATTAAGGTTGCGTATGAGGAAGCAACTGTGTTCGAGGACAAATGATTTATGTTGTGGAGTTAAGGGTTTGAAAGCAGCCATGGTGCTCTTCAGGCCTTGGCCAAAGCTAGTGTCAGCTTCCAAGGTACCACAAGAAGTGGCGGTGCGTTTGCGTTTTCTAAGCGCAAGATCCTTCTTGCTGAGAGCCAATGCCTTGCGTTTGCTGTCCACCAGCTGGCCGTTAACTCGTTGAGATCTGCCTCCTATGACACCACGACAATTCTCTGAACCACACTTGCACTCCTGTCCCTCAGCCGGGTTGAAAAGAGAGAAGTTATAGTCATAAGTAAGCTCCGTGCTACTGGGAATGTCTTGCAGGGCATACAGAGCCATCCTGTACTGGCCGTTCACTCCCCACTTCTGCATCTCACAATTAGGTTCACACGAATGATTAACGAAACGGCAATCGCCGCCCATACGGTGGCCATCTATCACAAGACCGCGGTCAAGATTAAGACAGTAATGATGGGTGTCGTTGGCGTAGGTTGTCTGCATCCTAAGTTTGAACTCCTTCTCGCTCACCACTTCCCCCACATACTCAAGAATGAAAGTCCCTGTCTTGATGGGCTGCGTGACTTTAATGCCCCAGCCTTTGTTGGGAGTCATGAAGCGCATGAGGCAGCTAAGGCTCTGGTGCCTCTGGATACGTTGGTTTGAGCAACGGTCACCAATGGGGCAGGTTTGAGGGCTGCACTCAATGAACATCATGCGGTTGATGCAGTCGTCGCCACAACCCAGCGCCGCGGCGTCCTGAGGGCGCCGGCAGTTGCAGGGCTGGCTCTCAGCAGCGCAAGGGCTCGGCTTCACGTCGTAAAAAATGTCTGCAGGAAACATGACACTGGTTACATGCACAGAGCAAAATTGAGTGGCAAA